TGTATTCAAATAGCAGGAAGCACAATATTTTTAAATGGCATATATGTGTTAATTATAATTTAGAATGACGTATTGTTGAGCTGCAGACAAAGTTCAGCCTAAAAACGGTATCCTAAATTCGTAATAACACCTATTTGTTTGCTACATATCCTCTGTATAATGAGAGTAATAATGCAAAATGAGCAATCCGTCGAATATCGTGAATCATATCAGTCGAAAAGATTGCACTTTCTTCACAAATCCTGCCGCTCTGATAATCAGAATCGAGCTCTAAGGCTTGCAGTGTGAACCTGTCCATGACTGGACTCTGAGATTGAAAGATAAGCTTCCCAATGTCCTGACATTTGGGGACACTGTCAGATCATCTGGTACAAAGTCTGCTACACACTCCTATCTTCATTACAGCTGCAGTGACTTTAGATGTGGGATCTGATCCAGATTCAGCCTCAGAGCCGGTGCGTTATGGAGGCTGTGAGCAGTAAATTGAGTTGAAGCAGACTGACGTTTGCTCTTAAAGCAGATTGCCTCTTTTTCCAATAGAAAAATCAATATCACGGAAGCAAACGCTGTGTGTCTGCTCTTCTCCAAGCACTCAGTTAAATACCAACAGGGTGCAACACTCCATTTGTGTAATTTGTCAACATTACTCTAAAGATGTGTTGCAGTGGTTTTTAGCGTGCTCAAAGGGTTAAACTTGGGTAGTCTTAATAATGTTTTTGATGTAGTTCCTTTTCATGTGATCTTATAATCCAGATGCAGTAGTGGAAAGTATCTAAATACATTTACAAAAGTACTGTACTAAATGGTAGAGATGCAACAATAGCACTTTGAGTCGATTGACAGAACAAAAATGGACGATTTTAAACTATTTCTTGTTCAGAAATGGCAGAAAATACTGATTTCAGTACAATTTCTCAAGTACTACATTGAGTACCATGTTGAAGTACTGAGGTTTGTTCTTTACTTGAGTATTTCCATTTTATGCAAAGTGATTTTCATGCGTAAACGTGAGAAAATGCTGTTTTCTGCCTTAAAAAATGTAGATATTTGAGTTTAAAGTGAATATCTTTGGGGTTTTGACTGACTAAACACGACATATAAAGAAATACCTGCTGGGTCATACGTATTGAACACTTGAACAATTTAAATTATGAAAAAATACCGTGATATTTAGTAGTAGTAGTAGTTAGAGCTGCATCAATTACTTGGCTGGTCATTTAGTTGATTGGCAGGAAACTGTTTTGCACTTCTGGTTAGTTTTCTTAATTCTTCTACTCCACTCCATGTCATGTTATTCTGTTTATTCCACTATATTTGACTCGGCTATACAAAAAATACTTTATTAAATGAGCCCTATTATGCTTTTTGGGGTTTTCCCTTTCCTGTAGGCTTTAGTGCATGTAAATGGTCTGCAGAGGCTAAAATCCCTGCTTTTTATATGATGAATAACTACGTTTACAGTTTATTTTTGCAGTACATTTTCCTGAAGCTGAATGCTTTATTTTCGTTGTTGTAATGGTGTGTTTACTCAAGTAGAACATCTGTGTTTTCCTGATCATATTATGGGTGTAAAAGAGGTCTGTGTGCACTTTGAAGCGATGATGGTTGAGATGATGCAGCCTTGTTACAGCAACACCACAATTTTCCCATTTTCTGTTCCCATAATCATACATTCCCATTTTATATATTTGGGTGTTGTGTTCTGGGAAACCTGTATTCGTAATAAACACATTGCATACAGAAAGGTTTCAGGAGTTATTTTGGAGCACCGAGATGGGGTAGGAGATAGGGATGGGAACGATTAATCGAATATTCGAATATTCGAAATTATTCAGGTATTCAAATATGAGTTATGAATATTTATGTATTTATTTATTTATTTTTGGGAGGGGTGCCTAAGTTGATTACATATGATCAAATGGAATAATTCAATGTATACGACATTGCCATAGCTAAGTGTGTTAGGTCTAAAGGTGTGTTTTGCTCCGCTCACCGGTCCCTCACAGCGGGCAGAGCTGCAGGTGCTGATCTCTCTCTCTCGCGTCCGGTTATACTTCACTCGCGTTTATGTCCAAACCCATCAGATCTAGCTAGTTCTAGCTAATGATATGGCTGCTGCCCCTCGCTACACGCAGATCACGTAGACTCAAACCTCATCTTATGCCCAAATTCCAGCTGGCCTGATTGTGAATCGCCTCCGCACCCGCCTCTCCCCTGAGTAGACATGCTCATATTCTTAAACAAGAATGAGTATTGAATAGCTGCATTCTGTGCATAGGCCCTGTTACAGGTTGTTGATCTCTGTTGTAATAGGGTTACGTTACCCTAACCGGTTATGTTGTTCGTGTATGATCCCTCTTTAATTTAAAAACCAAGTTATGTTTTAAGCATGAAAGCTGTAGGCCTATAGCTGTCAACTGTTCAAACTGTGATCACCAGTTCAATACATCTGACAAATTCGTCTTGGTTTCGATACTTATTTGAACATGTATTTATTTATTTTTCAAAATAATTTCTTTTTTGTAAAAATATTTCCCACATTTTTTAATTTTTTATAGGATATGTACATTTCGGTTAATCGGTTAACCGTTTTTTGGGGGTCGAATATACATTTGCTTTCAAATTCCCATCCCTAGTAGGAGTGCGTAAAGTACTTTTGAAAATAAAGGAAATACAGGAAATGCATCGAGATAACAATAAGAATAAGAAGTGCTCAGTGTTGCAGAGAAAGTGAGCCATTTCAAAGATAAACTAATAAAAGCACATTTTAAAGCATCATTTTTAGACGGAGCCATGTTGTTTACCTTTGAATAGAAGAAGAATTGTAGCTCCACAAAAAATTAGGCCATGGAGTAATTTTAATTGTTGCTATTAAAATAATTCCTTTTGTGTTTGTAAGTGAATTTCTGACTTTTAATTAAAGGTGGGGTCGGTCATTTGGGAGAAACCAGCTCGAGTGCGCTAGAATTTGAAAATACACAACCGGAAAAAATCTGCCACTTCCTTACGGCCCGTCCACACAGCGGCGTGCGTTGAAGCTTGCTCCATTCACTTGAATGGGGTGACGTCACGCTTCGCCGAACTGCATTGTGGGGAGCGTAGCTACGCGTTGCTCGCTGCAAAAGTCGAGCCATGTTCAACTTTTGAAGCTTCTGAAGCTTCGGTGGAAGCGTCAGCCAATCAAATCCCGTTTATGCAGCCAATCAAACCGCGTGTATGCTGGGAGAGACACACCGCAGGTCATTTCCTCAAAAATGGAGCAAGCTTCAACGCACGCCGCTGTGTGGACGGGCCGTTACAGAGCCCCTCCTCCAACACACACGAACGCGCACATGACCAATGAGGGCACGAGATAAGTTTGTGCACAGATGGAAGGCTGACAGGCAGGTAGGCCATCCAGTTATTTTAGCCGGGCCGGCTCAGATGATTGGTCGTGCTTTTTACAGTACTACGGCTTCCACAGATGACATTTTTTTTTATGGATTTTTTGTCAAAGCACTTCAGATATTCATTGCTATCGGGATGTTAAGAGCATTCCATGGAATATAACAAAAAGTGTATCTCGAGCCGGTTTCTCAAACTTACCTACCCCACCTTTACATTAACAATCAGATATATTATTTATCCTGGGGGAAAATCTGTTCTTTGCTCAATTTTAACATAAAATAGAATCAAACATATTAAGTAAACCCAAAAAAGTTCAAATCTAAATGTGCAATAAGAATATACAATTAAATAGAATTAACTTTATTTTACCATACGAAGTTAAGGGAAGATGTTCACATTCTTTTACAATATATAGGGGGGTAACGGGTTCTCCCGTTAACTGGGGGGTTTCTCCCATTAACTGGGGGGGGGGGGGGGTTCTCCCGTTAACTGGGGGGGGGGGGGTTCTCCCGTTAACTGGGGGGTTTCTCCCATTAACAAATCCACTGAAACAAATGTAGAATGTCTGATATTGGGCTTTATAAATAAACTCTGATTGCTTTCCTCGGTATCACAGGTTGTTGTTGGCTTGTTGCACACGGTGTCATCACGGTTTTGTTGCTCATCCAATCATTGTGAACTGTCTGAATCTATTCGGGGTCCCGTCCATCGTCTTCATTCACTGCATAATTCTTCTAAGTGGATAAAGTTTCGGTTTATGTGGGCTGGAGCCAAATCCTTCCTTAAGAGGAAACAAATCCACTTAAAAGAAGTTCATTAGTCTGGATTTCAGTGGAGCGCTTACACGGAGTGAGGAGATGCCAAAACATTCCTTGGTTTGATTTGAACAACAACAATTTGAAATAAACATTTAACGATGTTTGCATTATCAATCAATCTGCCTTGCTTGAATAATGCCATCTAAATTAAAAATATCCATCCTAGTTCCTCAGTCCAAGGTCATGTCACTTTATTATGATATATAACAGTTGTCTCCATGCATTAATGTTCAAAAAGCTCTTTATTTTTCTCATACTGCCTGATTGGTCAACCGCTTAGAGATGTCCCGCCCCTTAGCCTATCACTTACAGTCATACAGTTGCATAGAAATGCTTTATAACCTCTTTTCACCCTCTGTTCCATCACGTACAATGTGTTGGAGCAATAACCAATAGGAGCGCGAGTGTTACGTAGTGATGTCACTATTTTCCTGAAGTAAACAAAGGGTTAGGGAGCACTGGGATTTTAGCCTTTGCAGACCATTTACATGCACTAAAACCTATAGAACACACTACAGGAAAGAGAAAAAGGCAGAAAAGGGCCTCTTTTTAAGTGCATTTAAAAATCATTTCCGGTTACAAATACTACAATCAACCTGTATTTGTTCCTTAATACACAATTGGAGTACAGTCAGTAAAAGTATTCTGATTGTGAATAGACTTTCCTCTCACATCAGTTTCTGTAATGTCAGCATCACCAACACTGCGTCCCAAACCCTCGACACTATTCCTTCTTCTTCTTCTTCTTCCAGTGAGTGTTTTTATCCCATTAACCCCCCCCCCCTCTCTCTGCAGCTGATGGGCCTCTGTGTTCTCTGTGTGGGGGTCTACGCTGAAGTGGAGCGGCAGAAGAACCGGACCCTGGAGGGCCTGTTTCTGGCCCCCGCCGTGGTGCTCATCCTGCTGGGCCTGGTGATGTTCACCGTGTCCGTGGTGGGCATGGTGGGCTCCCTGAGGGACAACAAGACCCTGCTGCACATGGTGAGGAGGAGCTCTTTGTTGTTGTTGATGTTGTGTACAGAAAGATATCTTTAACCCCCGAGCGTTTCCAAGAAGATTTATTGTCGGTGCTGCTGTCGGATTTCTGCTTCCCCCTCAAAGCAACACAAGACACACTGTGGAGGTTTCCAGAAATCTGTGCAGCAAAGACATTGATCACATCGTTTCTGTCGCTTGATTTTCATTATAATAACAATAAATAACATTATTTGTTGGAGGCAGGTCAAAGTGCTTTAACAGTTTGGCAAACAGAAAATAAGATAACATTTAATTCCAGTCCAAGGTTAGAAGATATAAGCAGCATGTGCAAGGCAAGCGCTTTGCAAAATAGGTTAAAGGCATTTAAGGGGCCGTATTATTCAAATGTTCAGGTTCATATAAATGTTTCATGTTTCTACTGTGACATGTCTCCATGCTTTAATGTTCAAAAAGCTCGAAACATAGGGATTTCAGTCTTTTTTTATTTTATTTTATTCAGCCTTTATTTATACAGGTGTAAAATCTCATTGAGACACAAGGTCTCATTTGCAAGAGAGACCTGTTCAGTGGTAACACTACCACACAAAGTTACAGACAGACAGGACACTAAACACAGAGGCAACACTAAAATACAACATCGTAAAAAAAGTAGTCATTGAAATCCATATAAAGTATTCAGGTAAAGCAGGTGCAAACACCCACAGATGATTTCTCCAGCTTTTTTAAAATTAGTTTAAAATCCGTGATGGGTATCAAACTGGTCAGCTTAAGTTCCTGCTGAAGTGTGTTCCAGGTCGAGGGGGCAGAGTATGATATGGCTTTTTTCCCAAGCACCGTGCGAACTGAGGGGACGGACAGAGTGATGTAATGTTGAGATCGTAGGCTATAGCTGTACTGTTTGTGTGATATGTAAGTGGATATGTAGAGGGGCAGCAGTCCAAGCATAGCGGTATAGATGAATTTGTACCAGTGCAGTGATCTGCGCATTGATAATGATGTCCAGTTGACTAAAGAGTACAGCGTGCAATGGTGTGTGAGGGGTTTACAGTTGGTTATGAACCTCAGAGCCCCATGGTAGACAGCGTGCAGCAGATGAAGGGAGTGAGCTGAGGCGTTCATGTACACAACATCCCCGTAGTCCAAGAGCGGCAAAAATGTGGCAGCTACAAGCCGTTTCCTCGCACTTGTGGAGAAGCAGGCCTTATTTCTAAAAAAGAATCCCAGTTTTAATTTCAATTTCCTTAAGAGATTGTCAATATGTGGTTTGAAGCAGAGATTGTCATCTATAGTGATGCCTAAGTATCTGTAGGTGTTAACAGCTTCAATGGGGTTATGCTTTACAGACCATTTACATCACACCAAAACCCGTATAACAAACTACTGGAAAGGGAAACCCCCAAAAGCAGAATAGGGCCTTTTTAAGATATAGTGCAAAAGAATGACATCATGACCTTTTTAAGTACATATGAAAACAATAATTAAAAAGCCAAGATAATACAGATTTATCCAAGCTAAGAGTATGACTTATAAAATACAACAATACAATGTGTTAGTGAGACCTGTAAAGACACCATTACAGTAGTCCAGTCTACTGAAGATAAAAGCATGGACAAGTGTTTCCAAATCCTGCTGTGACATTAGTCTTTTAATCCTAGATATATTCTTAAGGTGAAAGTAGGCTGACTAATTGTTTTAATGTGACTATTTAAACTCAGCTCAGAGTCCATGACTAATCCTAGATTTGTGGCATCATCTGTTGTTTTAAACATTGCAGACTGAGGCTCAGTGCTGACTTTTATTCGTTCCTCCTAAGCTCCAAAACAATTACCTCAGTTTTATCTTTATTTAATTGGAGAAAGTTCTGACACATCACGTCATTTAATTGCTCATGTACTTACTCAGTGCTTTAATTGGACCATACCCCCGTGGTGAGATTATAATATGAATGTGTGTGTCGTCTGCATAGCTATGGTAACTTATTTTCCATATCTGAGGAAGTGGAAGCATGTCGATGTTAAAGTAAAGAAGCCCCAGGATGGAGCCCTGAGGTATTATTTGCCCATTTTTACCCTGAATTTTGTCTAAAAGTGTATTTTTTCCCTGCCTCCACAGTTCCTCTGTGTCCTCTGTGTGTTGCTGCTCCTCCAGGCCATCGGGCTCACCCTGGCTCTCATCTTTGAAAACAAGGTAAACTTTATTAAATGTCACTTTTCCTCTAAATCCTCAGATAATATCCTAAATGATAGCATCAACACTTGTTCCTCTCTTCAGACGTCGGCCCTGTTTCAGAGCAGTATACGAGAAGGAATCAAACACTACTACGATGATCTGGACTTCAAGAACATCCTGGACTACATGCAGGAAAAGGTGGTTTGATATTTAATATATAAACACATAAAGACAGACACTTGAGGACAATAATGATGCTCTTATTTGATACCATCTCTTCCTACAGTGCAACATACAATATATAGGAGACATACAATAGTGCAAGGGACACAACGGTTTGATTTTGATTTGATTTATTTCCAACGTGTAAAATATACAACAAATATTAATGAAATGAAACAAGAGAATTATGATACTGTACAAACTAAAGCAGTATCAAATTAATAAACACAAATATTATTGACTTACAAATTATATATATAAACAAATGATCTTCCTAATTACACATCCGAAAAGGTTGCATGTAAAAATGCAGGAATATGTCGACCAAGTACCTGTAAATAATCGAGCAGTGTGTATTTTGGAAACGTCACACTGTTTAAGATATAAATCTAATCTGAACAGTACATCTGGTATCAGTGCATAGAGTTTCTTTGAACATGACCTTCAGAACTAAATGTCTGTAACGGGTGTTTAACCTTTAGCCGTGAGCTGAAGATTTCATCTCCCCTCCCTCCTACATGCTCACAGGAGATCATGCTGTTCTATTTCACCACAAACGTCAGTAAACCAGGCGATGAATCCTGTTCCTCCCACTGCTTGTCTTAAGTAGAGATGTCCTTCAACGTCTTAAAATAAATGTCAGACTTTACGGACTAAGATGTGCAGAGGCAGTTAATGTGACGAGATGCAGTGGTGGAAAGTAACTTGAGTACATTCACTGTATTTAAGTACAATTTAGAGGTACTTGTACTTAGGAATTTCCATTTCCTGCTATTCTACTATACTTCTATTCCACCATCAATTAGAGACAGATATTGGACATTTTACTCCCCTTAATTTATTTCACTGATTTAGTAACTTGGAATATTTAGATTTAGTTTTATAATCTAATTTATAATTTTAAAATTCCACTGGATGAGGCAATGCAGCTTTATTCCTGTCACCAAAATTCCATATAGATTATATTTAAAGAGGCCCTATTCGGCTTTTGGGGGGTTTTCCCTTTTCTGTAGTGTGTTCTATATTTTAGTGCATGTAAATGGCTTGAAACGCCTCCATTGGACTCCTTTCTTACTCTCAGAACATAGTGACATCTCTATGTAACACTCATACTTTTGTGGCTTTAACATTTAAAGGGGACCTATCATGCAAAATGCACGTTTGTACGTCTTTTCTACATGAATATGTGTCCCCGGTGTTCCAGGGAACTCACCAAGTGTCAGAAAACACAACCCTCTCTATTTTCCTCCATACCCAAAACTCTAAAAAAGGGGCTGCAACGGATCTGATCAAAACTGATCCAGATTTGAACACTGTCCTGACGTCAGGACGGTGGCGCTACGGCTATTGGGCCAACTCCACCAATCAGGATGAGACAGCCACGGCCATTGCCGTTCGAAAGCGCTGGAGACGCTGTAGTACATATGCCAGGCCTGTAGGTGGTGCTGTTCTCACAGAATCAGCCCTTGCTAAAACAGAGCTAACATTTTTCAAATTGAGCAAAATGAGGCATGGCTAAAATGCATGATCTGTTTGGTATTTTGAAAAAAAAAAAAGTATAAATATGCCTTATATAGGTATGGCCCTACACTATATTATTCAAATATAGCATGATAGGTCCACTTTAATGTAGGTTTCACAAGATGATTCTGACACTGAGCTGCGTTTGAAGCCCTCTTTCCCGCAAAATGCACCTTTTTAAAGAGGCGCTATTATGCTTTTTGGGGTTTTCCCTCTCCTGTAGTGTGTTCTTCAGGTTTAAGTGCATGTAAATGGTCTGCAGAGGCTGAAATCCCTGTGTCAATGCTAAGATTTTAAAATATTTACTTGAGTATAACTTTGAATGCAGGACTTTTACTTGTAACAGAGTATTTGTACACTGTGTTATTATTATGTCTTTCTGTCACGGTCCTTAATTTTCTTGTCTTTTTCTGTCTTTTCTTCCAGTTCTCCTGCTGTGGGGGGGACGAGTATAAGGACTGGGGGGTGAACCAGTACCATTTCTGTAATGGTACTGGTCCTCTGGCCTGTGGGGTCCCTTATACCTGCTGTGTCCGCAAAAAGGTGATTGCTAACACACACACACACACACACACACACACACACACACACACACACACACACACCAGAGTTCCCGTTCGAATATTTTTTTGCCGGTCAACATGTCCGTTACAGTTTAAATCTTCCGTACAAAATGAGAAAAGTGCCGGTCAAAGGTCTTCTTTGTTATTTAATGAGCTTTAAAACAAATTGATATGATTTGATATTAAACAAACTAATTATAGTAGATTAACTACATTATTCAAACGTGTACAGTAACTTACAATAACAAGGGAATAATAAACGGAGCGCTCTCTCTCCCTCTCCTGACAGCCCGTCAGTATCATGCAGCTCGCGGATCCAGTAATGAGTGGCCCGACAGTAAAACTAAACATATCTATAACTAGTTCAGGTAGTTTGAGAGGTAATTAAAATAGCTACGTGTGATGTTCTAACCTGAAGTGTGTGTTTTGCTCTGCTCACCGCTGCAGGTGATCATGCAGAGCTGCGTGTCGACTCGTCAGCAGCAGCCGATCTCTCTCTCCCGTCAGATTAGACTTCACTCGCGTTTATGTCCATATCGATCAGATCTAGCTTGTTCTAGCTAATGATATGACTACCTGCTTATTAAAAGACACCTAAACAATAAGCGTCGCTATGCAACCGGGTGAGGCCACAAAGTATAGCGCAGCATTATGCATTTGTTTACATGCCCACCGGAACCCCGAGGCATTACCAACAGATCAACGCACAATCAACCCATACAGGACACTCTTTCTCCACGTTACGTGTGAGACATTAGAATTGACTATTCTTGTCTGTCACATACTCTTGTCTGTCACATACTCTTCTTGTCTGTCACATACTATTCTTGTCTGTCACATACTCTTCTTGTCTGTCACATACTCTTCTTGTCTGTCACATACTCTTCTTGTCTGTCACATACTCTTCTTGTCTGTCACACACTCTTCTTGTCTGTCACATACTATTGTGTGTCACGTACTCTTCTTGTCTGTCACATACTCTTCTTGTCTGTCACATACTCTTCTTGTCTGTCACATACTATTCTTGTCTGTCACGTACTCTTCTTGTCTGTCACGTACTCTTCTTGTCTGTCACGTACTCTTCTTGTCTGTCACATACTCTTCTTGTCTGTCACATACTCTTCTTGTCTGTCACACACTCTTCTTGTCTGTCACGTACTCTTCTTGTCTGTCACATACTCTTCTTGTCTGTCACATACTCTTCTTGTCTGTCACACACTCTTCTTGTCTGTCACGTACTCTTCTTGTCTGTCACATACTATTCTTGTCTGTCACATACTATTCTTGTCTGTCACATACTCTTCTTGTCTGTCACGCACTCTTCTTGTCTGTCACGTACTCTTCTTGTCTGTCACATACTATTCTTGTCTGTCACATACTCTTCTTGTCTGTCACATACTCTTCTTGTCTGTCACATACTCTTCTTGTCTGTCACATACTCTTCTTGTCTGTCACATACTCTTCTTGTCTGTCACATACTATTCTTGTCTGTCACATACTATTCTTGTCTGTCACATACTCTTCTTGTCTGTCACATACTATTGTCTGTCACATACTATTCTTGTCTGTCACATACTCTTCTTGTCTGTCACATACTCTTCTTGTCTGTCACATACTCTTCTTGTCTGTCACATACTATTGTCTGTCACATACTATTCTTGTCTGTCACGTACTCTTCTTGTCTGTCACGTACTCTTCTTGTCTGTCACGTACTCTTCTTGTCTGTCACGTACTCTTCTTGTCTGTCACGTACTATTCTTGTCTGTCACGTACTCTTCTTGTCTGTCACGTACTCTTCTTGTCTGTCACGTACTCTTCTTGTCTGTCACGTACTCTTCTTGTCTGTCACGTACTCTTCTCGTCTGTCACGTACTCTTCTCGTCTGTCACGCACTATTCTCGTCTGTCACGCACTCTTCTCGTCTGTCACGCACTCTTCTCGTCTGTCACGCACTATTCTCGTCTGTCACACACTATTCTCGTCTGTCACACACTATTCTCGTCTGTCACGCACTCTTCTCGTCTGTCACGCACTCTTCTCGTCTGTCACACACTATTCTCGTCTGTCACACACTCTTCTCGTCTGTCACACACTCTTCTCGTCTGTCACACACTATTCTCGTCTGTCACATACTCTTCTCGTCTGTCACACACTCTTCTCGTCTGTCACATAAGTGGCTCAACTGATGCGGTATTGCGCTAAGGGAAAATTATTTTGACCGGACATTTTGACCGGAGAGATTTAGATTTGCCGGTCTTCAGCAGATGCCAGATCAATGGACAAATATATATATTGCTCCTTAATCAATGTATTTCCAAGTGTAAAATACTAGTATTTACGGGTTTTTTACTCTATTATAACATGATTTCTCAATTATAGGCATGAAATCCCACAATTTTCCGACTCTTAGCTAGAGCTTCGACATAAGCCTCTGTGATTCCTCTCTGTAAAATGTGAGCTACACAGGGCGTATTATCCCTGGTGCTATTTCTGAGTTAATTTCACGTGCAATAATGTCAGAAAAAGGCTGTTTCCAGCGGATCACATATGGAGATTTACTGCTTTTCTCTTCTATTAAAGTGAATATCTTCAGACTGACAAAACAACACCTTTGAAGACTTTGAGAAATGGGGATTTTTCACTATTTTCAGAAAATGTTTTAGACTAAATGAGAAAACAAATCAGCCGATTAATTGTTAATTAAGAAATAGTTGTTGGTCTCAGCCCTGTTAAAAAGGCTATAATCAGTCTGTCACAAAGTAGGCTGTAAAAACATGAAATAACCCGCTGTCTTTTTCCATTTGAGATTTCACTCACAAATACTTTATCAAAGCATCAGGGACGTCTTACTGTTTTGTTTCTAACATGTTCAATACATTGACTAATAATAATAATACAAAATGTCCCAATTATGTGGCCTCAAGTAGAGTTTTTTCTTTAAGTTAAAGGTAACCTATTATGCAAAATCCACTTGTCCATGTCTCTTCTACATCAACATGTGTCCCCTCTTCTTCATGTCTCTTCTACATCAACATGTGTCCCCTCTTCTTCACGTCTCTTCTACATCAACATGTGTCCCCTCTTCTTCATGTCTCTTCTACATCAACATGTGTCCCCTCTTCTTCATGTCTCTTCTACATCAACATGTGTCCCCTCTTCTTCACGTCTCTTCTACATCAACATGTGTCCCCTCTTCTTCATGTCTCTTCTACATCAACATGTGTCCCCTCTTCTTCATGTCTCTTCTACATCAACATGTGTCCCCTCTTCTTCATGTCTCTTCTACATCAACATGTGTCCCCTCTTCTTCATGTCTCTTCTACATCAACATGTGTCCCCTCTTCTTCATGTCTCTTCTACATCAACATGTGTCCCCTCTTCTTCATGTCTCTTCTACATCAACATGTGTCCCCTCTTCTCATGTCTCTTCTACATCAACATGTGTCCCCTCTTCTTCATGTCTCTTCTACATCAACATGTGTCCCTACATCAACATGTGTCCCCTCTTCTTCATGTCTCTTCTACATCAACATGTGTCCCCTCTTCTTCATGTCTCTTCTACATCAACATGTGTCCCCTCTTCTTCATGTCTCTTCTACATCAACATGTGTCCCCTCTTCTTCATGTCTCTTCTTCATCAACATGTGTCCCCTCTTCTTCATGTCTCTTCTACATCAACATGTGTCCCCTCTTCTTCATGTCTCTTCTACATCAACATGTGTCCCCTCTTCTTCATGTCTCTTCTACATCAACATGTGTCCCCTCTTCTTCATGTCTCTTCTACATCAACATGTGTCCCCTCTTCTTCATGTCTCTTCTACATCAACATGTGTCCCCTCTTCTTCATGTCTCTTCTACATCAACATGTGTCCCCTCTTCTTCATGTCTCTTCTACATCAACATGTGTCCCCTCTTCTTCATGTCTCTTCTACATCAACATGTGTCCCCTCTTCTTCATGTCTCTTCTTCATCAACATGTGTCCCCTCTGTGTAAAGAGACTCTGAAAGTTTCAGGAACAAAGATTCTCTCTCTTTTTCTCCTGATCCATTTCTATAAAAACCTGTCTGAAAATGAGCTGATCAGATTTTGGCCACTTTATGATGTCATAATGATGTTTTGTCTTGTGTAACCATTAGCCAATCACCAACCAAGGTAACCCCCCCCCTTATCACCTGAATCTCCTCCTAGAGCACCATTGAGTTCTTTGTAACCAAATCTCTCTCAGAGGGGCGTGGGGAGGGGCTCCTTATTTTCATCTAAAGTAACAGACAGAGAATCAGCACTTTGGAAACAGGGCTGAAACAGAGGGGATTATGGGTAATGCTGCAATGATCTGTTTGGTGTTTCAGCCAATCAGAGACAGGCTCTGGATATATCTGAGACCTGTGATATATTGATGAAAAACAGTATAATGGGGGACCTTTAAATATAAGTCCCTATGCCCCCTCCTCTATCTATATATCCCCTCTATGCTCACATCCCTGATACCGTCTCTGAAGCAGTGGAGCGTCACCGGAGAAGTTAATGACAAAATCCTCCTCACCCGGAGCAGAGATATAAAGTGGAGCGCTGACGAGGTCCAGGTTCCTCACGTTATCAGCTCCAGCGCTGCAGAACCTTTCTGCAAACACTGAGGGTCTCAGGGGACAGAGACTCCCCGTGCGAGGGGCTTTACTCCCACATATATGTGCCCACTAGCTATTCCGTTGGGAAAAATGGGTCAAATATTATCTGCGTTTATTATTATTGAGCTTAGGAAACAATCGATAAGAAGTGTAGACTAGAAGAGGCTGTTTCCAGCTGTGGAAGAAGTACTCGGAACATTTTAATGAAGATGTTCTGCTGCAGATTTTCTTTCGGACTTTAAATTGAACCGATAAGAACCTTCAGTGACACAGGTGTCACATGACATTAAATTAATGTAATGTGTCGTCATTAAATGTTCTGGAAAGTTCCTTATACAGCTTTAGCCTTTATTTGATCTCATGAAGTCCCTCAGTGACACACACTGAACAGTCGGGTGGGTCATGGGCCAGGTCATGTGACTTTGTGTTCCCATGACAACATGTCCATGGGCCAGGCTAACACATGTGACTAGCTACATTTCAGAAGCTTTTTTGTTGTTGCTTGAGTTAAGATTTCAGCCATTTAAGAATTAAAATGCTTACAAAACATGTCCTTTATTACATGTAACCTGTTGTGGAAACATTTCTTGATCAAATTGATATGAAACAAATAAGATAAATATCGGTATGACATTAATGTAACAACGGGACATTAACTTTAACATTTCTCTGTAAATCTGGAGTAACATGTCACAATTAGAAATGGGTCCGGGTTCTTAAGGAATACAAACTACTATTTTCGCTTTTACTCTGCAGTGACCGACATTCCTACCTTGGCCAGTTTGGTCCACTCGGGTTAGATTTCACTGAAATCAGTAATGAAGAATCTGCAGGTCGTTGAAAAACGGTATCGTCCCAAACCTGAGAGCGCTGTCCTCAAAGAGAAAGGGTATTTCTGTCTATAGAATCGATCATGCTGCTGACTCGTCTATGCCAGTGTTTTCAACCTTTTTTTAAAGCCTGTGGTTGTTGGTGTGCCACGGGTATTTTTTTTATGTAAACAATGTACCGTGGTGCATTGTTTACATAAAAAAAATACCCGTGGCACACCAACAACCACAGGTCTCTCAATTTGCTTTGAGAGCCCTCTCTTTGTGGCTTTTCTCATCAAATGTACCTTTCTGATAACGCAGGTGACCAAAATAGTCCGTGTTCTTGTTTTGAAGTGACGGTGTTTCGTTCGGAGATGATACGCTTACTTGTGACCATGACACTGTTGGAATTTATTTGCAGCAACTAAATAATATTCTTTTTGGACCTATTAAGTAAAATTGGACAATTTTCCAAGGCACACCCCACGATTTCTCACGGCACAGCGGTTGAAAATCACACGTAAATTCTATCTAAATACACTTCAAATTATTAAGGGGAATTATTTTCATTGTACATTTTGACAGAATTCTATTTTATTTGTTGAACAGATATTCCTGATCAAAGTCCAGTTAATACCGACTAACACAAACAGTGATGTCTTTGCTCATCTTGTCTTTCTGTTAAGTTTCTCTGACTCTCTCTGTGATTCTTTGCAGGTCGGAGAGGTCATCAACACTCTGTGTGGCTACAAGACTCTGGATCAACAGGTGAGAGAAACAAAAACACTTTTGATGCGCTGTTCACTGAGGATTTTACCAAAAATAATAATAATAATAGCCGCCTAGACCAAGTCTGTTTGCCAACGTAAGGCCTCCCTTCACCCCTACTAATGTGGGATGATATGTTATGATCTTCAAACAGCCGCCTTTACATTGTGTTTTCACTCATGTGAGGGGGTAGGACCAGAAACGTTTTTTTAAGCTTCTCCTTGCCCCTGTTGAACATGACTCACTATTTGAGAATGTATTTATTTTTTGTACCTTTAACGTTTTTCTCTTTGTTATAATTATTATTCTAAGAACAATTGTTTCTGACATGTTCAATAAATTGACTAAATAAATAACTGACAAGATGTCGGCTCACCAGAGGCATTGATTCCCTAAGTCCTCCCTAAGAGCTGACACAAACCACGGAGTCCGATAACATTTTCTGCATCGCTACGTCCCTCCATCCGACCAATGAGGACCGCTGCTTTGAGGAGAGTTTGAAGCGAGCATCAAGGAGAATCTGGAGCGAGTATCGCAGCAACTGGGAGAAAAAAAGGAGACTCGATTATTGGAGAAATAATTACCTCCGTTTTCCAGCTCTGGCACAAACACCAGATAAATACCTCAGAGAAACGAGCTGCAAATGCTCATCGTTGTGAAAGAAAACATGCATTTCACAAAGAAGAAGAAGACGAGGTGCACCAGTGGTTTATTTATATCATGGAGATAGATGATTGGAATGAAATCCTCTTTTTAATGTCGCAGGTTCACACTTAGTCCAGTAGTTTAAAGTAACTAAGTAGATTTACTCAAGTCGCTGACCTCACCACCTTCAAAACACTTACAAAAACTCACCTCTTCAATCTGGCTTTTAATGTGGGATTGTAGTTGTATTGCTTGATTTTAATTTGACTTAAACTATATTTATTTGTTATTTTCTTTTCACTATCTCTGTAAAGCGACTTTGAGCACCTGGAAAAGCGCTTACAAAATAAATCTATTATTAAGTACAATTTTGAGGTAATTTTAACTGAGTATTGCCATTTCTCCTACTTTGTACTTAAATCGTGTACTTTTACTCGACTACATTTATTTAATACCTTGACCGTTACATTACAGATACAAAAAACCCCTGCATTTCGCTGTCTCTGTATTTTTTTTCAGTATTTTTTTCTGTGCTATGAAAATAAATCTAATCTAATATCCATTGTAGAGCAAAATTATAAAGAAATGAAACCGTAAATCTCATCCAGGGAAAAGATCCAGAGTCCCGGCAAGAACAATAGCCGCTTTCACACCAAGTACTTAGCCGGTACTTGTCCCCGTTACTTGTCCCCCCCGAACTCTTTAGTCCCTGGAACTGTCCTAGTAGATCGCGTTCTCACTGGACTAAGTCCCTGAGGGAGGATTACGCAAATGAAGCCGCTGACGTCACTTCAACTTTGGAGTTGGGGACTGGCTTCAGTAGAAGCTGCTGGGTCGCGTCTTCCGAGTAAATCGCCAGAAGCGCCGACACCTCCTCATCACTCCACCGCTCCCATGTTTTCTTTTGTGTTGCCATAAGTTAGTCTCTCTCCGTTGGTGCGCTGGGCTAATGCTGGGCTAATGCTGGGCTAATGCTGGGCTAATGCTGGGCTAATGCTGGGCTAATGCTGGGCTAATGCTGGGATAATGCTGGGCTAATGCTGGGCTAATGCTGGGCTAATGCTGGGATAATGCTGGGCTAATGCTGGGATAATGCTGGGCTAATGCTAATGCGAGCAAATAAAATAACGGCTTCACAAAACCTTTCGGAGTTTTACGGGGCGTGGTTTGCAATACGCCCAGCCAATCAGAAATTGTTAGTGTGGCCGACACTCCCACGAACCATTTCCTCCTCAGGAAAGTACTACCTCTCTAGCAAGGACTATCTGGGGGTGAAAAGGTTCGCGCGAACTAGGGACTAGTTCCAGATCTTTTTTGGTGTGAAACCAAATCTCGCCTCTGCCTGTGGCGTTTCCTGGTTTAAAAAAAAGACATTTGCCCTCTCTCTCTCTGACACTAATCCCACATGTCTCCAGTAAATACATAATTACCAAAACGCCTTCAAGATAAAAGCATAAACAACTAGTTTAATCAACTTGTCACTAATAATTACACTAATTAAAATCTACATTAGCAAAAACAAAAACGGCAATAAAATAAACTATTAAGTAATATAAATCAATGTGCTCAAACATCCATATTCATTTGCATTAGTATCTTCCCCTTGTGTTTCTAATGTGATCTCTTGCGTGGCTTTCCATTAAGCCTGCACAATTAATGACATTTATCAAAATTGCAATATGGAGTCGTGCAATATCCAAATGGCACGAAGCACAATTTGTTAAAGGCTGAATAGGTGTCATTAAATGTGTATTTTTTCATCATGAGAATTTAAAAACCATCAATGCGTCCTACATCGTTAACTCTCTAACAATAAATGCAGTCAGTATATTAGATATTTATTTCTAAATGTGCTGCCTGTGTGAAAAGCATTGCTAGTTTATTGTGATGAAAGAGTGTTATGTTTTATTTAATATCTTAATGATTTAGGGTGTTCAGACTCTGTCTTTGAAGCAAAGAGCTGCATTTTTAGATTCAAAAGATTCAAAGGTTGAATTGTCATCAGCACAAAGCTACAGTGTAGAAATGGCAATGAAATTCTTCTGACCTGAGCTCCTCCAACAATGAAACATATAATGAATGCAAAAAGTCTATCTACATGTAAACCAGGGATGGGCAAATGGCGGCCTCAGATTAATTTATAAACAACGTAATTAATAAAAAAAAAAAAAAAGTATTTTTTTACTCGTAGTACTGATACCGTCCACTAGACTCCTAGTTACGTCGCGAGCTGCGTACATGATTTTGTTCGGCAGCCAAATACCGCAAAATAATCTGTGACGCGTTTGTGTGTATTGTGTTTGTTTCCGGGGGAAACACTCACAAGAAACACCGGCTGTTGTTATGCCTGCTGTTAAAGTGGACCTATCATGCTATATTTGAATAATATAGTGTAGGACCATACCTATATAAGGCATATTTATACTTTTTTTTTTTCAAAATACCAAACAGATCATGCATTTTAGCCATGCCTCATTTTGCTCAATTTGACATTTTTTAGCTCTGTTTTTGCAAGGGCTGATTCAGTGAGAACAGCACCATCTACAGGCCTGGCATATGTACTACAGCGTCTCCAGCGATTTCGAACGGCAATGGCCGTGGCTGTCTCCTCCTGATTGGTGGAGTTGGCCCAATAGCCGTAGCGCCACCGTCCTGACGTCAGGACAGTGTTCAAATCTGGATCAGTTTTTATCAGATCCGTTGCAGCCCCTTTTTTAGAGATTTGGGTATGGAGGAAAATAGAGAGGGTTGTGTTTTCTGACACTTGGTGAGTTCCCTGGAACACCGGGGACACATATTCATGTATAAAAGACGTACAAAAGTGCATTTTGCATGATAGGTGCCCTTTAAGTTACCGCTTGTAATTATGCCTTTACAAGCTTAAAAGTTGTATTTATCATCTGAATTTGGCGAAACAAGTTTACTATTCTAAAAACCAAGACTTTGTTTATTTGAAATCAGATGAAAACAAACTGTCACGGACCCTGCCGTGTTATCTATGATTACTATACGCTTTTCATTAATAATTTCAGCGGGAGGGAGGGGGAGCGGCGCTGAGGAACAGCAGAGTGCGGGTTGACATTCCCCTTATTGTGTCTTAGGTTCGAGTTAGACAACTAATGTCTGGGTTAGTGTTCATGACTTCATGTTTATGTCATCTTAACCTGTTGAACCCCATCGACCTGCCCCCGGGCGGAAAAACATATAATCTGCAGGAAACAGCGTCTGAGGGCTTCTTAATATTTAATAAACTATGAATGTTTAATATCCATGTAACGGGAAGAAACTCCGCTAACTGATATTTTTTTTTTGGAAAAAAAAAACACAAAGCTAACGCTGACCCTCTGAATTAGCCACGAGCGAAAAATGCTAACGGCGTTTGCACAGAAAGTCACTCATAACACCCTTATTACTTATCGTAACTGCACATCCAACCCCTCGATTAGCATCGTGAGAAGACACAGAATAGGTATCTATATCTATATCATCACTCCATGATAAGAACTCGCGACATAATAAACAAAAACAGACATAACACGTGGCGCTAGGTAGCAAAAACGGCAATATCTCTTACCTTCGTTGTTGTCTGATCAAAAGTTGTCTTCAATGGCATTAAAACGATAAAAACGCTGCTGATGTTAATCCATAGGTTAATCCAATGTGTCTGTGTCACTTTGAAATGATTTCTGATAATCCATAAGCAATAAACCTGCTTCTCCGTTTTCAGATTTCAGAGCGTGAGATAGGTTTCAGTTAAACTGCATGCGCGAAGCCCCCACTTTTTTTTGGTAACGTTGGTGTGTATGTGGAAATTCCCCTTCGATTCTATTGGCTCTAACGGTTAAAAAGAGATGTCAATCACCAAAATCGACCAATGGGTTCCAGAGAAACGGCAAAAACGCCCATTTCCACCCAAATCACCCCAGAGGTGGAGTTCTTTTTGCTAAACCTCTCTAAAAAGGTCAAATGTCACTTGTTTTGCATCAATCTTGATACAGGGTACTTATTATATGTTGTACTTTGGATTCCTAAAGCTTTTAGTCTACCATCCCATCATTCAAGGGTGGTTTTCACTATAAGTAAAAAAGATTTTTTGGACGGACACTATAATTTACAGTTTTTTACTATGTTCAATCTGAATTTTCTTTAAAATAAAAAACATCTATATTGATTCTGACTATTCTACATCCAACTCACAGGTTTATCATTACTTTGAGAAAAAAGATTATTAATTTTCCACTTTTAGAAGGGAAGATATGGTCATTTGTTCTGGGAATGTCATTTTTGAGCCTGAGACCTGAAAAACAGGGATGGGGTTTAACAGGTTAATATTTAATCTTGATGCACACACATTTTCCGTGCTTTCCAATAGTTTAAAATAGTTTTATTCCACTGTTAAATAATCTGTTCAATACAAACATGCCACTTGTACAAATTAAATAACATTTCTGTGAACGGATATTTGTTTAGTGAGCTTATTAGAGGATGTTCCCTGAAAGATTGTAAAATGTCAATGAAGATGTCAGACTTAGTATATTTGTTAATAATTACATATAATACATGGAATTTGTGTGTGTTCCAAGCATATACAGTCTATGGCTCCAAGTGAATCTGCGGCCCCCTGGTGGCCAGTACATAAATTATGTGGCCCCCACCACCATCCAAGTTGCCCATCCCTGATGTAAACAGAATATGATATGTACAAAAACAGAATATGAAATTAAATAATGTACATTAAGACTAAATTAAATACGGTTTATTGCGCTTATAACTATTTTTCATTTCGGTTGTACCTTTATGTTCACTATAGGGTTTTATATTGTTGCATCGATTCAGTTGTTCTGTGTCTTATCTGTCGGAGAGAAATAATTATTTATTTAAATTGTATTATCATACGTTTTACCTCCTTGTGTCTATTAACCTGATAACATGTTATATTTTGCTGCATGTACCTTTTAAAGTTCTTAACAAATAATCTGAGAGGTTTATTTTTAACTTGTGATGAGTCATTTTGTAAAGCACTTTGAGCTGCATGTGTTGTATGAAAAGTGCTCTATAAATAAAGCTTTATTATTATTATATAAATAAGTCTTTCTACTGCGTGTGACAACTTTAAAGAGTCACTGGTTCTTCTTATATAAAGAGGAACCATACCCCACTAAAAGGTACCATGGGGATAGATTATAATTTTCCAAAGGGGGTTCGTTTAGCATGAAACACTTGAAATAACTAAAGGACAAGTTAAACAAGAAAGTAGAAAGAAAGTGAGGTCATAGAAAACTATTTCTGCTAAAAAGTGAGCATTGATGTGTGTTTCTCTCACTGCACTGTCAGTTTAATTCATCTACCTTTGCTATTCATGTTTTATTATCTTTGCTTTTAAAGTGTTTGTAGATGTCATTTTATAATATGTTTCTTAATGTCTTTCATTTTTGTAAAGCACTTTAAATTGCCTTGTGTTGAAAAGTGCTATATAAATAAACTTGCCTCTCCTTATAAATACATATTTTTGGAAGCAGGGAGTGTTGAGTGTTGATATTGAAACGTTTCCTCTTGTTCCCCCCCTCAGCATCAGCGTGAAACCCTTCATGAGTTGATCCACGTGCGCGGCTGCATCCACGCAGTCAACCTGTGGATGAGCGACAACGTGGGAATAACGACGGCTCTCTCCTGCGCCATCGGCCTGCCGCAGGTAATTTAAAACTCACGCAGCGCTTCACTGACTCTGAGCTCTGGAGCCAGGTTTCCCTCCAAATGCACACATTTACCCTCCAGACTGTTGGGAAAACTTCCTGACTTTATTAATGTTCCTCACAACAACCAGGCCTGGAATGTTACAAAACAAACATTTAATTTCTCCCCAAAGAATACATGTGTGATGATGTTATTTAAGGATGTACAGTATAGCACAAATTCATAAGGTTGAAGATGCAAATTAAAGCACTTAAAGGTCACCTATTATACAAAATCCACTTTTTCCTGTCTCTTCTACATCAACATGTGTCCCCTCTTCTTCATGTCTCTTCTACATCAACATGTGTCCCCTCTTCTTCACGTCTCTTCTACATCAACATGTGTCCCCTCTTCTTCATGTCTCTTCTACATCAACATGTGTCCCCTCTTCTTCATGTCTCTTCTACATCAACATGTGTCCCCTCTTCTTCATGTCTCTTCTACATCAACATGTGTCCCCTCTTCTTCATGTCTCTTCTACATCAACATGTGTCCCCTCTTCTTCATGTCTCTTCTACATCAACATGTGTCCCCTCTTCTTCATGTCTCTTCTACATCAACACGTGTCCCCTCTTCTTCATGTCTCTTCTACATCAACATGTGTCCCCTCTTTTTCATGTCTCTTCTACATCAACATGTGTCCCCTCTTCTTCATGTCTCTTCTTCATCAACATGTGTCCCCTCTTCTTCATGTCTCTTCTACATCAACATGTGTCCCCTCTTCTTCATGTCTCTTCTACATCAACATGTGTCCCCTCTTCTTCATGTCTCTTCTACATCAACATGTGTCCCCTCTTCTTCATGTCTCTTCTACATCAACATGTGTCCCCTCTTCTTCATGTCTCTTTTACATCAACATGTGTCCCCTCTTCTTCATGTCTCTTCTACATCAACATGTGTCCCCTCTTCTTCATGTCTCTTCTACATCAACATGTGTCCCCTCTTCTTCATGTCTCTTCTACATCACCATGTGTCCCCCTCTTCTTCATGTCTCTTCTCATCATGTGTCCCCTCTTCTTCATGTCTCTTCTACATCAACATGTGTCCCCTCTTCTTCATGTCTCTTCTACATCAACATGTGTCCCCTCTTCTTCATGTCTCTTCTACATCAACATGTGTCCCCTCTTCTTCATGTCTCTTCTACATCAACATGTGTCCCCTCTTCTTCATGTCTCTTCTACATCAACATGTGTCCCCTCTTCTTCATGTCTCTTCTACATCAACACGTGTCCCTCTTCTTCATGTCTCTTCTACATCAACACGTGTCCCCTCTTCTTCATGTCTCTTCTACATCAACACGTGTCCCCACTTCTTCATGTCTCTTCTACATCAACACGTGTCCCCTCTTCTTCATGTCTCTTCTTCATCAACACGTGTCCCCTCTTCTTCATGTCTCTTCTACATCAACACGTGTCCCCTCTTCTTCATGTCTCTTCTACATCAACATGTGTCCCCTCTTCTTCATGTCTCTTCTTCATCAACATGTGTCCCCTCTTCTTCATGTCTCTTCTACATCAACATGTGTCCCCTCTTCTTCATGTCTCTTCTACATCAACATGTGTCCCCTCTTCTTCATGTCTCTTCTACATCAACATGTGTCCCCTCTTCTTCATGTCTCTTCTTCATCAACATGTGTCCCCTCTTCTTCATGTCTCTTCTACATCAACATGTGTCCCCTCTTCTTCATGTCTCTTCTTCATCAACATGTGTCCCCTCTTCTTCATGTCTCTTCTACATCAACATGTGTCCCCTCTTCTTCATGTCTCTTCTACATCAACATGTGTCCCCTCTTCTTCATGTCTCTTCTACATCAACATGTGTCCCCTCTTCTTCATGTCTCTTCTTCATCAACATGTGTCCCCTCTTCTTCATGTCTCTTCTTCATCAACATGTGTCCCCTCTTCTTCATGTCTCTTCTACATCAACATGTGTCCCCTCTTCTTCATGTCTCTTCTTCATCAACATGTGTCCCCTCTTCTTCATGTCTCTTCTACATCAACATGTGTCCCCTCTTCTTCATGTCTCTTCTTCATCAACATGTGTCCCCTCTTCTTCATGTCTCTTCTTCATCAACATGTGTCCCCTCTGTGGAAAGAGACTCTGAAAGTTTCAGGAACAAAGATTCTCTCTCTTTTTGATCCATTTCTATAAAAACCTGTCTGAAAATGAGCTGATCAGATTTTGGCCACTTTATGTCATAACGATGTTTTGTCTTGTGTAACCATTAGCCAATCAGCAACCAAGGTAACCCCCCCCCCCCCACCTTATCACCTGAATCTCCTCCTAGAGCACCATTGTGTTCTTTTTAACCAAATCTCTCTCAGAGGGGCGTGGGGAGGGGCTCCTTATTTTCATCTAAAGTAACAGACAGAGAATCAGCACTTTGGAAACAGGGCTGAAACAGAGGGGATTATGGGTAATGCTGCAATGATCTGTTTGGTGTTTCAGCCAATCAGAGACAGGCTCTGGATATATCTGAGACCTATAATATATTGATGAAAAACAGTATAACAGGGGACCTTTAAGAAATGTGTTGATGAAATAGAAAAGAACACTTTCACTGGGATATTTTGCACAATACAGTTTACACGTAGAGACACTACATACACCTGAACATCAGCAGGAGAGGACTCTTTAACTCAGCCTGGATAAAGAAACTGTGAACTCCCACTTCCTGTCAAGGTTTTTATTTTTTCTGCCTGACTAATTATTTTCAATGCTGCATAAAAACCTGATTTATCACTGCCAGAATACTTCACATAATTAGAGAAATCAAACAGATTGTGGTGTAACTAATTCGTTTTCTAATACTGACTTCAGTGTCTCTGTTTCATTGTTTTCTACCTTAAATCTGAATTTCTCGCCTACACATTCCTCTGGCCACAAATCTGCCCATGCATAATTTAGACTTGTCGCGGCCCCCCTTCAGAGGGGATTGATTACAATAATTACTTTTCTAAAACAACAGTATAAATAGCATTGGTTCTCTCCAAGCACCACTCCTACAGAATAAATTGCAGTTAATACATTTTCTGCTGGTTAGGTTCCCTGACACCTTATATATATCTTGCCACTAAGGGCGAGGTGATAAGGATACAAAAATCAAGTATTACGATATTTCTGATCAAATACCTCGAAGGATACTGTGACCATATTGTAGGGTTGACTACTTGAGCCGGAATTTAAAAACGGAGGTTGCTAACAAGTGTCTAAATGAGACGACTAAACGCCATCACGCCCAACATTAGCCGCCTTTAGCTTAGCGGTGGTGACGTGAAGTCATGTGACCGTGCTGTAGTTCCTTTATAGCCCAACATTAGCCTCCTTTAGCTTAGAGGTGGTGACGTGAAGTCATGTGACCGTGCTGTAGTTCCTTTGTAGCCCAACATTAGCCGCCTTTAGCTTAGCGGTGGTGACGTGAAGTCATGTGACCGTGCTGTAGTTCCTTTATAGCCCAACATTAGCCTCCTTTAGCTTAGCGGTGGTGACGTGAAGTCATGTGACCGTGCTGTAGTTCCTTTGTAGCCCAACATTAGCCGCCTTTAGCTTAGCGGTGGTGACGTGAAGTCATGTGACCGTGCTGTAGTTCCTTTGTAGCCCAACATTAGCCGCCTTTGAATGTTGATTTTGTGAGTATTCAAGAGCCGCTTTCACACCAAGTACTTTGCCGTACTTAGTTCCCAGCACTTAGTTCCCCCATGGAACTAAAGAGCAGATCGCGTTCACACCGGTATAAGTCCCTGAGGGAAGATTACGCAAATGAAGCCGCTGACGTCACTTCTTCTTCTTCTGCTTTGGGTTTACTGGCAGGCCGCAAACAACTTAACGGCGTATACTGCCACCCGAAGTCCCCGGCCGGAAGTCCCCGGAGTTGGGGACTGGCTTCAGTAGAAGCTGCTGGGACTCCCAGCAGCTTCTACTGAAGCCTTCCGAGTAAATCGCCAGAACGCCGACACCTCCTCATCACTCCACCGCTCCCATGTTTTTTTTTGTGTTGCCATAAGTTAGTCTCTCTCCGTTGGTGCGCTGGGCTAATGCTAATGCTAATAATGCTAATGCCAGCAAATACAATGGCGGCTTCACAACACTTTTCAGAGTTTTACGGGGCGTGGTTTTGCAATTCGCCCAGCCAATCAGAAATTGGAACTTTTTTCTCCCTAGGAAAGTACCTGCTCTCTAGCAGGGACTAAAAAGGGGGGAAAAGTTCTCATGAACTAAGTTCTCTTTTTGGTGTGAACGCAAAATCCCAGGAACTATCGGAACTAAAAGGGAAAAGTACTCCAGTGTGAAAGCGCCTAATGTAAATAAAGCTGTTAAAACCCTCCTGTGTTTCCCTGCAGCTGCTTGGCATCATCCTGAGCTGCGTCTTCTGGAACCTGCTGGTGGACATGAGCGAGTCTACGGACATGGTGGACTTCAAGCTGAAGAAGAAGGATGTGGAGTACACCGAGCTGGATCTGGCGGGCGCCGGGTGGTGCATGTGTCTGCCGAGGGACGGAGGATACCTGCCCGTCCCCGTCGTCGAACCCGACCTCGACCCCATCGATGTTCACCTGCAGAAGCTGAAGAAGCAGCCGCCGCGCACCCACTCTCAGCTCCAGATGATGCGCTCCGCCTCGGGTTTGGACGAGCTGGACGGCGGGCGGAAGCAGAAACGGGAACACTGAGCGCCATTTTCTGGGTTTTTCACCTTTTTTTCCGTGGTTGTAATCATTGTTGGAGTTGTGTTGCACTAACTTATGGGTTTCCGTCATTGGATCAAGCTTAATGGGATCAAAGGTACTCATTGGCTTTAAAAAAAAAATGTTTTAATTCTTCTTGTTTGTAGCGGTTGATATTTAAAGTTTTATGGCATTATATCACTTTTAATTTATTTTCTTTATGGTGCGTTCACAGTGGATGAAAGGCGATTTTTTTGCGTTGCACAATTTTGATTTGGAGTTGTGTTGCACTAACTTATCCGTTTCCGTCATTGGATCAAGCTTAAAAGGGATCAAAAGTACTCTGAATATGTTTACAAGAAAAAAAAAGAATCAAGAAGCAACATGCAACATTGGCTTTTAAAAAAAAATGTTTAGATTGTTCTTGTTTGTAGCGGTTGATATTTCAAGTTTATGGCATTATATCACTTTAGATTTATTTTCTTTATGTTGCGTTCACACCGGATGCAAGGCGGATTTTTTGCGTGGCACAATTACATATAAATTCAATGCAAAGACACAAATGTGACAAAGTCGCTGCTTTATTTCAAGTCACACGTTATTTTTATTTTGGACAGAGATGCTACAATGCTAGCTTAGCTTAGCCCTGAACCATCCGATATCCATTCAGAAAACAAGCATTTAAAAAAAAAATGTTTAGCTCTCTTGCAAGCAGAACAGATTACTGTTCAATTTCTTTTTACTAATCGGTATCTTAATTTTGCTATTTCGACTTCCCAATTAATCCGTTTTTTGCAATTAAATCACTGCAAAATATCTTTAATATTCGGCTCATACCATTGTAGTAAATAATATTGATTCAGCCACTTATGACTTGCTAGAGAAAGTGAATACGTTTCTGTGTCATTAAAACAACGGTCGCTAGCAAGTGATTCCAAAAGACATGCTAGCCGCTGTTAGCATGCTAACATGATCACAATGAAGGAGATCATGTTCTTAGCTTAGCGTGTTAGCATGCTATAAACGGCTATATGAAGTACTCCAGAAATAAATACAAAAATATTTTTGGGATATAGAGATAGATAATGCTGGTCCAGCTTTGAACCTTAACGGTTATTAACACCTGTCATGAATCTGCAAAAGAAAAATAAGAAGAGAACACTTGAAACCGGGAATGAGTCAGCATTTTTGCAATTCATCTAAAGGTCAATGTTTATTTGGATGTGTTGTTGGTTACACGTATAAAATAAAGTTTGTGGTTAACACAAGCTGAAGAGATTTAAAGTAAAGACTCCACTTGGACATTTTGAAGCCTTTAAATGTCTTTAAAAAAGGGTTTAAATTAGATTACAAGACGTCATCACGCCGAACATTAGCCACTGTTAGCTTAACGTGATGACAGTAAGTAATGTGACCGTGCTGTAGTTCCTTTATAGCCCAACATTAGCCGCCGTTAGCTTAGCATGTGACAGTGCTGTAGTTCCTTTATAGCCGTATAACATTAACTTTTTCTGGCGATTCAATTTACAATTGCAGGTTAGTAGCTTTTGATGATTTTATTGCAATGAAATCACGGCAAAATCTGTTAAAATGTGGTTTATACCAAAGAAGAAAAAGATTTGGGTACAGGTCATTGGTACAGGTCAGTGAAATGTTTATAGATATGTGTTCCTTCAGATGAACACCCAGTCAAAAGGTCATTTGGTTTCTTTCCATATCTGGGACTTTCACAACATTCGGCCGTGGAAGATGAAAAATGGCTGGTTTCTAAATGGAAGTAAGCCCCGCCTTAACGCGATCAATTTATTTTAAGAAACACTAGCTTAGCGTCCGCTGTGAACGCACCATTAGCCTTTGAAATTGAGCGATGTCTCACGTGCTAAAGCTTACCTCAGGCTGTTTTGACATCAGCCCAGAAGTCCGAGGACAGTACTATTTGGTGTGTAAATTAATGGTAGCTTGAAAAGATGTTCTTCAGTGTCGGAGAAATAGGAATAGCCAAGTATGTCTTGCGTGTAGCGTCTGTGACGGATGTATACAGTTTGTGTATTATTTATTTTAATTTGTTCTCATTTGATTTTGTGCAATCAGTGTACATTGTAAGACTGGTAGTTGTGAAATAACATGGGATGCATGTTTTGTACTGTATATAAAGTAAGCTAATAAAAAAAAAGAACAAAAAAACTCATGTAAGGCTCTCATCAGGGGGGCTTCAGTCTATTCCATTTTTAAACTGAACTTTTTATTATATCTTTTAATGGGATTACCCAGACTACAGATCCAGTGGAAAGTCTCTCAATGACGGTTTTTTGTACCTGAGTTATGCACTGTTTTGAGCTTCCCCCTAGCTCCTGCCTTGTATCAGCACTACTGTTCTTGTCAATAAATGAATTTGTCTACTGATTTTTGAGCTACGTTGCTTTCAATATACAAATAATGAAGATGGCATAAATGTAAATGTTTCTGAAAAAACGGAAACCGCTCATCTGAGATCTGCATTACTGGTAAATGGTCTACAAAGGCTAAAATCCCTGTATTCCCTCCAGAGGGAGTTTCTCTCCCAGCTAACATATCAGAGCAGACTGGGCTCTGGTTTCCGACAGAGGGTGAAAAGAGGTGCTGCAGCACAGGCAGTATGAGAAACTTTTTGAACATTAAAGCATGGAGACATGTCCCAGTAGAGACACTACATACTGATATACACCTGAACATCAGCAGGAGAGGACTCTTTAAAGTAGAGACACTACATACTGACACCTGAACATCAGCAGGAGAGGACTCTTTAAAGTAGAGACACTACATACTGATATACACCTGAACATCAGCAGGAGAGGACTCTTTAAAGTAGAGACACTACATACTGATATACACCTGAACATCAGCAGGAGAGGACTCTTTAAAGTAGAGACACTACATACTGATATACACCTGAACATCAGCAGGAGAGGACTCTTTAAAGTAGAGACACTACATACTGATATACACCTGAACATCAGCAGGAGAGGACTCTTTAAAGTAGAGACACTACATACTGATATACACCTGAACATCAGCAGGAGAGGACTCTTTAAAGTAGAGACACTACATACTGATATACACCTGAACATCAGCAGGAGAGGACTCTTTAAAGTAGAGACACTACAAACTGATATACACCTGAACATCAGCAGGAGAGGACTCTTTAAAGTAGACTCACTACATACTGATATACACCTGAACATCAGCAGGAGAGGACTCTTTAAAGTAGAGACACTACATACTGATATACACCTGAACATCAGCAGGAGAGGACTCTTTAAAGTAGAGACACTACTGATATACACCTGAACATCAGCAGGAGAGGACTCTTTAAAGTAGAGACACTACATACTGATATACACCTGAACATCAGCAGGAGAGGACTCTTTAAAGTAGAGACACTACATACTGATATACACCTGAACATCAGCAGGAGAGGACTCTTTAAAGAAGAGACACTACATACTGATATACACCTGAACATCAGCAGGAGAGGACTCTTTAAAGTAGAGACACTACATACTGATATACACCTGAACATCAGCAGGAGAGGACTCTTTAAAGTAGAGACACTACATACTGATATACACCTGAACATCAGCAGGAGAGGACTCTTTAAAGTAGAGACACTACAAACTGATATACACCTGAACATCAGCAGGAGAGGACTCTTTAAAGTAGACTCACTACATACTGATATACACCTGAACATCAGCAGGAGAGGACTCTTTAAAGTAGAGACACTACATACTGATATACACCTGAACATCAGCAGGAGAGCACTCTTTAAAGTAGAGACACTACATACTGATATACACCTGAACATCAGCAGGAGAGGACTCTTTAAAGTAGAGACACTACATACTGATATACACCTGAACATCAGCAGGAGAGCACTCTTTAAAGTAGAGACACTACATACTGATATACACCTGAACATCAACAGGAGAGGACTCTTTAAAGTAGAGACACTACATACTGATATGCACCTGAACATCAGCAGGAGAGGACTCTTTAAAGTGGAGACATTACATACTGATATACACCTGAACATCAGCAGGAGAGGACTCTTTAAAGTGGAGTTTCAAGTGCTTCTTCAAATGAGTTACGTACACTTCCTCCTTAAAGTCTCTCACTCTGGATGAGAAACAGCAGCCACATTAATTCAATTGACAAACAGTGCATGGACGCAGACAACTCTCATCCTGCAGGTCATCCCTCTTCACCTTTCCTCCTCCTCCTCCTCGTCATCAGGATGATCAAGAGACAGCAGGTGGAATAATTACAGCAAGGAGGTGAATTGCTTTAAAAAAGGAAACCACTTGGAGGCCTGAGAGCAGGATGTGCGCACATCCAAACACGCTGTGATTATGATAATATGGACCTGAATTGTTGTTATAATCAGGAGGTAGAAAAACACATTCTCACAGTTTCCACATCTCCCAGAGAACAGGCTCTCTATAAATACCACTCAGGTAATAACACATAATGTGAGGATTCTGGGAAATGTGCTGAAATGACGCTGGCGTTGCAGCACACGAAAGCACATGCTGTCAACAACCTGCAGAGAAACGGTGGAAAGAGAAAAACAGAGAGGGTTTATCTTTTAGTTTTTGATCATTTCAACTCTTCCATCAACATCTTTCCCAATATCAATGCTACTACAATGACAATATGTTCATAGCTAAAGTTTGAACAATCAAAGTATTGGAGAGTTTCCCCTGTCAGGGTTTTATTATAACAACTTAAGGATTTTTGACAGATAACATGCAGGACTTAAATGTTTAGAATCGGAGTCAGACTAGATAAATGTTTGTTCTAGACATTATTGTTCTATTAATATAAAGGGAGGTCAGGTACTCTTTAAAACAGCTGCTAGTTATGTTACTTTTTACTAAAAGTGGACCTATCATGCTATATTTGAATAATATAGTGTAGGACCATACCTATATAAGGCATATTTATACTTTTTTTTTTTTTTAAATACCAAACAGATCATGCATTTTAGCCATGCCTCATTTTGCTCAATTTGAAAAATGTTAGCTCTGTTTTAGCAAGGGTTGATTCAGTGAGAACAGCACCATCTACAGGCCTGGCATATGTACTACAGCGTCTCCAGCGCTTTCGAACGGCAATGGCCGTGGCTGTCTCCTCCTGATTGGTGGAGTTGGCCCAATAGCCGTAGCGCCACCGTCCTGACGTCAGGACAGTGTTCAAATCTGGATCAGTTTTTATCAGATCCGTTGCAGCCCCTTTTTTAGAGATTTGGGTATGGAGGAAAATAGAGAGGGTTGTGTTTTCTGACACTTGGTGAGTTCCCTGGAACACCGGGGACACATATTCATGTATACAAGACGTACACAAGTGCATTTTGCATGATAGGTCCCCTTTAAGTACATTTCAAAGCCCTCTTTACTTTTACTTGAGTAAAGTAGTCTAGTCAGTACTTCTACTTTCACCAGAGTATTTTTAAACACGAGTATCTGTACTTCTACTTGAGTAAAGGATGTGTGTACTTTTGCCATCTCTGCCTCTAAGGCATCCTGTTGTTTCCTTTTGGTATTGATTCTCTTGCATAAAAAACGAACAGGTGTCCCTAACATCTCTCTCTGTCACAATGTCTGTCTCTGAAAACTCAAACTCCCTCTCAGTCCAGCCTGTGTGCAGCTTTCATTAAATTACCTACATATGGCATCAGTTTGAGTTTTCACAGTTCGACCAAGCAATCTGGAGTCAATTTCACACCAAGCGCTCCATGTGCTGCGGGGTGATAACACCGATTTGAGGCTTCTTCCCTCAGGGTATCAAGTCTACAAACGTCTGCATGGATACACAGAGGGCTTCTCATCATCCTCCTACTAAACCTCTTTAAAGTTTCATCGGCAGTCCCACTCCATTAGGTCTCCTGAGACGGCCTCTGATAGACTTCTCCTCTCTATGAGTCTGAACAATGTGAGGAAGAGAAGAAGGGATTGAACTGAGCAATTGATCAATTGATTTATTGTAAAGAGAGAAAGAAGAAAAAATCCCTCTCATTTTGAAAGTGATCCCCTCTCAAATGTGGCCCGTGGTCCATTTTTAATTGGCCCTCAGCTAATTCGAAAGGTTTATAATTAGCAGATTTGAACCAAATGGACGGCGAATTTGTGTTTTTCCCACAAAATAATCACTTTTTGTACCGACATTAACAGTGCTGCTCGATCCATTCATTCCTTGCTATGGGGATTTCCCACAATCCTTTGCAACTATTTTACAATGTACTTCAAATGTACAACATGGCGTAGTTTTCCATTTAGAATTGAATTCAGACCATTTTAACTACGTTACACAAATACCTACTGTACGAAATCATCGGTCTTCTGTGTGTTAGGGAGATTTCACATTTCACATTTCGTTATGGAGTCATTCATTCCGCAACCTCCTTTACAGTTTCAGATTGATCCCAGAAGGTATGGCTATTCTTGTCTTTAATGAATTCACTAAAGTAGTTGTTGATCATTTAATGCCAGGTCAAATGTAAGAAATGTGGCGCTGTGGCTAAGTGGTTAAGGCGCCTGTTTCGTAAACAGGATATCCTGGGTTCAAATCCCAGCAGCGCCTCGTATGGGGCACTAAAAGCTGCAATACATAATTTGTACAGACCATTCTTCACGATAAGCTCAATGAACACTGGTCAACAAAGATGGCAGCTGCTTTTATGATCAATTAGGGCTAGCTTTTGAACTAATTAACCTTTTCAGTGGCACTTAATGGACACAAATGTAGTTCCAAAGGACAAGAGAAACAAGGTAAATTAGGTGCTGTGGCTAAGTGGTTAAGGCGCCTGTCTTGTAAACAGGAGATCCTGGGTTCAAATCCCAGCAGTGCCTCACAGGGTGAAAACCCAGCTAGGAAAGAGATATCCAGTGTGCTGCCTCATTGATGGATCAGATTGACTCCAACAAACTAGAACTGTCTTCAACTTGCAATCCATTCACAACAGACATTGCTCTTTATAAACAATCTCACATAAAAAGATTCCTACTGAAATAATTGAATTTAAAGTTCATTTTAAATTCCTTAAACCTAAAAAGAGAGATACTCCCTGCTTCCATCAGGATGTTTACTGACAATCCTATGTTTTACAAGACAGGCAACTCAGTTTAATGACTAGAGAAATGGTTGGAAATGAGGCGCTGTGGCTCAGTTGGTGAAAACACCTGTCTCATAAACAGGAGATCCTGGGTTCAAATCCCAGCAGTGCCTCACATGGGGAACCTGATATATTATAGGACACATAGGATTAAGCATACTGACATGATAGTAGATCAATTGTTTGTGTATGCGCAATTTTTATCATCAAATCTCACATTAAAGACACAACCTGAAATGATATGGGGTTAATATGAAACACATTCAATCTGAAAAGAGATTTATCTTTGCTTTTATTAGGTGCTGCTGGGACTTGAACCCAGGACCTCCTGTTCACTAGACAGGCTCTTTCACCAGCTAAGCCACAGCACCTCTGCTTTGATATTTTTTCAACATGAGCCACATTTTTATATTTCCAAAATGTAAAGAAATGTCTAAAAATGGAATCGTCCACCTGAGAAGCTGTGATTGGAAACAGTTTAGAAATGTATTCTTTTAAAGCTTTGCAGGTGATTGGATAACTATCTGTCTTTATTCAACCAATCAGATCAAAGACTGCAGTGGCTAACGCTGGGACATTAAGAAATGTGGTTCTGTGAGAGGTGAAAGCACCTGTCTAGTAAACAGGAGATCCTGGGTTGGAATCACAGTGGCGCCTCAAGCTGTACTCTAAAATGTACAGTAAAGAAACTAGTTTGTAGGATAGAGCTTCTTCTCATTAAAGATGAAATCAATTCTATGTGAATTCAACAGCACTGGCTAGACATTAAGTGGATGCACATGCTTCTAATTAAAGATAAATGTGTCTGCCCTCATTCTAAAATCATTAGGAATTCGTATTTAATTTACAAAGAGAGATATTCCCTTTTTTACACAAGGATACTGCTTTGATTTGAACCCATGATCTCATGCACGTTTTAAGACAAGAAAATCTTAGAAAATGTGGCGCTGTGGCTAAGTGGTTAAGGCGCCTGTCTCGTAAACAGGAGATCCTGGGTTCAAATCCCAGCAGTGCCTCACTCGGTTGTAAACCCAGCTAGAAAAGAGATATCCAGTTTGCTGACTCATTGATGGATCAGACTCCAACAAACTAGAACTGTCTTCAACCTGAAATCCATTCACAACAGACATTGCTCTTTATAAACAATCTCACATAAAAAGATTCCTACTAAAATAATTGAATTTAAAGTTAATTTTAAATGCCTTTAACCTAAAAAGAGAGATACTCCCTGCTTCCATCAGGATGTTTACTGACAATCCTATGTTTTACAAGACAGGCAACTCAGTTTAACGACTAGAGAAATGGTTGTAAATGAGGCGCTGTGGCTCAGTTGGTGAAAGCGCTTGTCTTGTAAACAGGAGATCCTGGGTTCAAATCCCAGCAGTGCCTCACATGGGGAAGACTCTGTGGATGTGTTGGGACACATAGGATTAAGCATACTGACTTTATAGTAGATCAAATGTTTGTGTATGCGCCATTTTTATCATCAAATCTCAAATTAAAGACACAACCTGAAATGATATGGGGTTCATATGAAACACATTCAATCTGAAAAGAGATTTATCTTTGCTTTTATCAGGTGCTGCTGGGACTTGAACCCAGGACCTCCTGTTTACTAGACAGGCTCTTTGACCTGGCTAGACATTAAGATCAGATTGTACATTGTAAAGGAGTATGATTAAGTGGATGCACATTCTTCTAATCAAAGATGGATATCTGTGTCCTCATTCTGACAACATTCAGAGGTAATGTCAAATGCATTTAGTTTACAAAGAGAGATATTCCCTTTTTCACATAAGTATACTTGATTTGAACCCATGATCTCATGCATGTTTTAAGACAAGAAAACATTAGAAGCTGTGGCGCTGTCGCTATGTGGTGAAAGTGCCTGTTTTGTAAACAGGAGGTCCTGGGTTCAAATCCCAGCAGTGCCTCACAAGGGGAACCAAAATGTACCGTTGAGGACTTGTTCGAAGTTGTTAATAGTCATTTATGTGTGAATTCAAGTTGCCATGTCTCAAAATGATGAAGACAATTTGGAGGTAACAAAGTTAGCAGATTCTCTAATGGTCAATTCAAGCTGGCTCTCACTTTTTTTTTAATTGCACTGCCTATATGAGTGCAGCTCTGTTTGAGGATCAAATGTTACATCTTAAAGGACCAGTGGGCAGGTTTAATCGGATGCAAATTCTTCTAATTAATTATTAAATATCTGTGTCTTCGTTCTGAAATCATTAGGAGTTCATATAAAATGCATTATGTCTACAAAGAGAGATAATCCCTTTTTTTATTACAAGAAAATCCAGGAAAATTAGGCGCTGTGGCTAAGTGGTTAAAGCGCCTGTCTCGTAAACAAGAGATCCTGGGTTCAAATCCCAGCAGTGCCTCACATGGGGAACCTGATATATTATAGGACACATAGGATTAAGCATACTGACATTATAGTAAATCAATTTTTTGTGTATGCCCAATTTTTATCATCAAATCTCACATTAAAGACACAACCTGAAATGATATGGGGTTCATATGAAACACATTCAATCTGAAAAGAGATTTATCTTTGCTTTTATCAGGTGCTGCTGGGACTTCAACCCAGGACCTCCTGTTCACTAGACAGGTACTTTCACCAGCTAAGCCACAGCACCTCTTCTTTGATATTTGTTCAACATGAGCCACATTTTTATATTTCCAAAATGTAAAAAAATGTCTACAAATGGAATCGTCCACCTGAGAAGCTGTGATTGGAAACAGTTTAGAAATGTATTCTTTTAAAGCTTTGCAGGTGATTGGATAACTATCTGTCTTTATTCAACCAATCAGATCAAAGACTGCAGTGGCTAACGCTGGGACATTAAGAAATGTGGTTCTGTGGCTTAGAGGTGAAAGGGCCTGTCTAGTAAACAGGAGATCCTGGGTTGGAATCACAGTGGCGCCTCAAGCTGTACTCTAAAATGTACAATAAAGAAACTAGTTTGTAGGATAGAGCTTCTTCTCATTAAAAATCAAATCAATTATATGTGAATTCAACAGCACTGGCTAGACATTAAGTGGATGCACATGCTTCTAATTAAAGATAAATATGTGTGCCCTCATTCTAAAATCATTAGGAATTCGTATTTAATTTACAAAGAGAGATATTCCCTTTTTTACACAAGGATACTGCTTTGATTTGAACCCATGATCTCATGCACGTTTTAAGACAAGAAAATCTTAGAAAATGTGGCGCTGTGGCTAAGTGGTTAAGTCGCCTGTCTCGTAAAAAGGAGATCCTGGGTTCAAATCCCAGCAGTGCTTCACATGGGGCACCAAGCTGTACCATTGATGACTTATTTGTAGGATTGAGTAGATGCTCCTTCTCATCAATTATCATGTATGTGTGAATTCAGCCTCTTCTAAAAGCTATGTGTTATAATGACGAAGACAGTTTGGAAGTAACAAAGATGGCAGCTGCTCTAATGGTGAATTCAGGAGATGTTATTTGCTTTTTTGAAGGTCACTGGCTAGATGAATGCAGCTCTGTCATCACATACATTTTAAAGGACCAGTGTGTAGGATTAAGTGGATGCACATTCTTCTAATTAATTCATACATATGTGTCTTCCTTCTGAAATCATTAAGAGTTAATATGAAATGCATGTAGTCTAAAATGAGAGATACTCCCTTCTCCCATCAGGTGCTGCTGGGACTTGAACCCAGGACCTCCTGTTCACTAGACAGGCTCTTTCACCAGCTAAGCCACAGCACCTCTGCTTTTGCTACTATTTCAACATGAGACACATTTTTATACGTCCAAAATGTCCAAAAATGGAATCGTCCATCTGAGAAACTGTGATTGAAAACTGTTTGAAGACAATTTTGAAGTTACAAAGATGGCAGCAGCTCTAATGGTCAATTCAGGGTGCGTCTTGAACTTCCATTATTTTATAAAGGCACTGCCAACATATGAATGAGCTCTGTTTAAGGATCTCATTTTACATTTTAAAGGACCAGCGTGTAGGATTAAGTGGATGCACATTCTTCTAATTAATTCATACATATGTGTCTTCCTTCTGAAATCATTAAGAGTTAATATGAAATGCATGTAGTCTAAAATGAGAGATACTCCCTTCTCCCATCAGGTGCTGCTGGGACTTGAACCCAGGACCTCCTGTTCACTAGACAGGCGCTTTGACCAGCTAAGCCACAGCACCTCTTCTCCTGCTTTGTGACTCTTTTCTTTTTTCCCCTACGTTGTTTCCAACAGAAATGAGAATGAATGAAGACTCACAGATTAGACATCTAATTGGGAGAATGTGACAATGTCTGCATCAGATTTAGTGCCTTTGCCTCACAAGCCACATCCGTATGAGCCAGTAGCTTCTCACAGGACACTGAGAAGTTGAATAAAGCAACCTCCATGTGTTAAAGAAAAGGACTTGTGAGTGAGACTGCAGTTGCTCTTTTTGTGGGTGGCACTTCATTTAACCTCCTGACCATTTAAATGGAACTGGCTGGATCTGAAGCAGCTCTGTTTTGAGACACGAAAACAAAGTGTAATGTGGTGCTGTGGCTAAGTGGTTAAGGCGCCTGTCTCATAAACAGGAGGTCCTGGGTTCAAATCCCAGCAGCGCCTCATAGGGTGAAAACCCAGCTAGAAAAGAGATATCCAGTGTGCTGCCTCATTTATGGATCAGACTCCAACAAACTAGAACTGTCTTCAACCTGAAATCCATTCACAACAGACATTGCTCTTTATAAACAATCTCACATAAAAAGATTCCTACTGAAATAATTGAATATAAAGTTCATTTTAAATGCCTTTAACCTAAAAAGAGAGATACTCCCTGCTTCCATCAGGATGTTTACTGACAATCCTATGTTTTACAAGACAGGCAACTCAGTTTAACGACTAGAGAAATGGTTGTAAATGTGGCGCTGTGGCTTAGTGGTCAAAGTACCTGTCTCGTAAACAGGAGACCCTGGGTTCAAATCCCAGCAGTGCCTCACATGGGGAACCTGATATATTATGGGACACATAGGATTAAGCATACTGACAGTAAAGTAGATTTTGTGTATGCCCCATTTTTATCAGCAAATCTCAAATGAAAGATACAACTTGAAATGATGGGTTAAGTACCTGGATCTTCTATATGCTAATACCAAGAATGCATATTGTGCCACTGCCCTCCCCCCCCTGGGCAGATCTGACCACAACCTCGTCTTTTTGGCTCCTAAATATGTCCCTCTGGTGCAGAGGCAGCCTGTATCCACCAGGACTGTGAGGAAATGGACTCCAGGGGCTAATGAGGCTCTACAGGACTGCTTCGAGACCACTGACTGGGACGTGCTTTGTGTGCCACATGGAGAGGACATCAATAATATGACTGACTGCATCACAGAATACATCAACTTCTGTGAACAAACAATATTACCGGCTAAAACTGTCAACTGTTTCCCCAATAATAAACCCTGGATTACTAGTGACCTGAAAACTCTTTTAAATAAGAAAAAGGAAGCTTATAAGTCTGGGGACAAATCAATGCTGAAGAGTATCCAGCATCAACTGAGAGACAATTTGAGGAGGGGCAGAGATTCGTACAGGAAGAAGCTGGAGACTAAGCTCCAGCAGAACAATAGCAGGGATGTCTGGGCTGGGATGAAGGCTATCACTGGCTTCAAAGGGAGAGACAGACTGACTGTGGGCACCCTGGAGAGGGCCAACGAGCTGAACACCTTCTTCAATAGGTTTAGCTCTCCGCCCGCTGCTGTCTCCTCCACTTCCTCTTCTCACCTCACCTCCTCCTCTCAGCCTGGCGTCAACATCCCCCCTCTGCTCACCACCTACACTTCACACCTCTCCTCCACCACCCAGCCTGGCTTCTGCACCCCCCCTCTGCTCACATTGCCGCTGACCCCCCCCCCCCCCTCTGCTCATCTTGCCTCAGACCCCCCCCCCCTCTATCCCCCCTGCCATCAAGCCCCCCCCCCCGCTTCACTGTGAGCACAGGACAGGTCCAGAGTCAGATGGAAAAACTCCACCAAGGCAAGGCTGCTGGCCCTGATGGTATCAGCCCCAGGGTCCTGAGGACCTGTGCACGCCAGCTGGCTCCTGTTCTCCAGTATATATTCAACCTGAGCCTGCACTTGGAGACCATCCCGGTGCTGTGGAAGACATCATGCGTTGTTCCGGTCCCTAAAAAGACAACTCCTTCTGGGCTCAATGACTATCGCCCTGTAGCACTCACATCTCATGTGATGAAGGTGCTTGAGAGACTGGTCTTGGCCCATCTCAGACCGCAGGTGAGATCATTCCTTGACCCTCTGCAATTTGCCTACCAGCCTCACCTGGGGGTGGACGATGCCATTATTTACCTGCTGCAGCATGCTCACTCATACCTGAATGGATCGGGTTGCACTGTGAGAATCACCTTTTTTGATTTCTCCAGTGCATTCAACACGATCCAGCCTCGGCTACTGAGTGACAAGCTGCAGGCTATGAGGGTAAACTCGTCCACCATCTCCTGGATTACCAACTACCTCACGGACAGACCACAGTACGTCCGGCTGGGCAGTGTGCTGTCTGATGTGGTGGTTGGTAGTATTGGAGCCCCACAGGGGACTGTGCTGTCTCCTTTCCTGTTCACCTTATACACCTCTGACTTTCTATACAACTCAGAGTCATGCCACCTGCAGAAGTTTTCGGATGACTCTGCAGTGGTAGGGTGTATAAGGGATGGACGGGAGGAGGAGTACAGAGTGCTGGTGGGTGATTTTGTTGAGTGGACTGGAAGAAATCATCTGCTTTTGAATGTGGCCAAGACCAGAGAGATGGTCATTGATTTCAGGAGGAAGAGGACATCTCCTCCTCTGCCCCTGTGCATTCTGGGAGAGGATGTGGCAGTTGTGGAGGTCTACAAGTACCTGGGAGTGCACTTAGACAATGGGCTGAACTGGAGGATCAACACTGACGCTGTGTACAAGAAGGGGATGAGCAGACTCTATTTTCTGAGGAAGCTGAGATCCTTCAACGTATGCAGTAAGATGCTGGAGATCTTCTATCAGTCTGTTGTGGCTAGTGCACTCTTCTTTGCTGCGGTCTGCTGGGGGGGCAGCATCAGAGCCGGTGACACCTGCAGGATCAATAAACTGATCAGGAAAGCTGGGTCAGTCATCGGCATCAAGCTGGAACCCTTTGAAGCTGTGGTGGAGAGGAGGACACTGAACAGGCTGTTGTCCATCATGGATAACCCCACCCATCCTCTCCACCTGCAGCTGGACAGTCAACGGAGCTCCTTCTCCAACAGACTGCTGCAGCTCCCCTGTCACAAGGACAGATACTGGAAAACATTCCTGCCCACTGCAATAACACTGTACAACAAATCACCTCTGGCTGGAAGAGAACTCTCTGCTCCATAGTTTCTCTAGAAATAAAACCACCTTGTACATTTTACTCACACATAATCTGTTTCATATTTAATACTCCATAATTCCATATATTTTGAATATATATATATTTGTATATATATATATATATATATATATATATAATATCTGTATGTATATTTTCTATTTTGTATTTTGACATGTATATTTTATATTTTATTTTATATTTTATTTTATTTTATTTCTATTCTTGTATATTTTGTTTTATTGTAAAATGCCTTTTATGCTGCTGTAACAAAAACAATTTCCCAATTTGGGATCAATAAAGTACGATCTATCTATCTATCTATCTATCTAAGTACCTGTCTAGTAAATTGCTTAAAAAAGGCAATCTCTTTTTAGACTGAATTCATATCAATAGCAATCATCTCAAATTGTGTCTTTAATGTCAGATTTGATGATGCAAATGATTCCCCATTGTACACACAGATTTGATCTATAGAAGAAGCATCTTGTTCTACTTCATCCAATACAGTTAGTGATCACCTGTATGAGGCACTGCTGGGATTTGAACCCAGGATCTCCTGTTTAGGAACCAGGTGCTTTCACCAACTAAGCCACAGCAACACATGTACTACAATTGTTCTAGTCGTTAAACTGAGTTGCCTGTCTTGTAAAACATAGGATTGTCAGTAAACATCCTGATGGAAGCAGGGAGTATCTCTCTTTTTAGGTTTAAGGAATTTAAAATTAACTTTAAATTCAATTATTTCAGTAGGAATCTTTTTATGTGAGATTGTTTATAAAGAGCAATGTCTGATCCATCAATGAGGCAGCAAACTGGATATCTCTTTTCTAGCTAGGTTTACAACCGAGTGAGGCACTGCTGGGATTTGAACCCAGGATCTCCTGTTTACGAGACAGGCGCCTTA